CTCAGAGATGGAGATTCACGCAAGGCCGGCTCCAGGCACCAGCTTACCAAGCAGATGCTTGGGGCGGCCACTTCGGAGAGGGGCAGCACGTCCAGCTGTTCGGCGGCAATTCGGCGGACGGTCCCTCACTCCTGCTCGGAGCGAAGGACCTCCCGCCGAATTGCCACCGCAGATCGCGATCGCAATTGCGATCGCAGCTTTTTTTGTTTGTTTGTTTGGCTGCTTCGGGCGGTCAAAACCCTGAAGCCGGCTCTGAAGTCACGTTTTAGTTTGGGGAGTGAAAAGGAGAGAAGCTGTCGGAGGAAAGGAGGAAAAGGTGAGAGAGAGAGAGTTGGCCCATCCACTTCTGCCTCTCAGGCCAGAACTCCTAAAGGACATCAATATTTATCCTTTGGCTTCTAAAGACTTTAACTATCTAGGTGGGCATACAACCCAGTGGTACTGAGGGACTCACAAATATAACTGAATTCATTCTGTGCAATAGGGAAGCACTAATAATATCTGTATGATACAAATAAGAATATAGGAGGAAATGAGTTGCCATCAGACTAGTAACCTGTCTCCCACAGTGGTCAGTACCAGAGCTTCAGAGGGAGTGTCGGAACAGGGCAATTCTGGAGTGATTCATCTCTGTTCTCCATTTCGAGCGTCTGGAAGTCAGAGGGTTAGAATTGCCTTGAGCATGGGGTTACATCCCTGACTATCTTGGTTAATAGCTATTGATGGATCTATCCTCCATTAATTTAACTACTTTTTAAACTCAATTATAGTTTGAGTATAAACTATATCCCATGACAATGAGTGCCATAGGCTAACAGTGTGTTGTATGAAAAAGTACTTCCTCTTGTTTGTACTAAACCTGCTGCCTATTAATTTCATTGTGTGACTCCTGATTTTTGTGTTATGTGAAAGTGTAGATAGCATGTCTCTATTCCTTTTTTTCATGATTTTATAGACCTCTATCATATTCCCCCTTGTTTCTTTTTTAATCTGGACAGCCCCAATTTTTGTAGTTTCTCCTCTTATGTAAGTTGTTCCAAACCTTTGATCATCTTTTTTGCCCTTCTCTGAACCTTTTCCAGTTCCACTGTAGCCTTTTTGAGATAGTGTAACCAGAACTGGACACAGAATCCAAGGTGTAGATGCACCATGAGCTTATAATGCCACTACATAATGGGGACACCAGAAGGCCTCATTGACAGACATGGAGATATTGTGTCTTGCCCAGGTCACACAGGAAATCTGTGTGGCTGAGGCAAGAATTGAACTCAATGGCAGGTGACTATGAATTGAGACACTTTGTCGTGAACAGGTTCTCACCACAATTCATAGGTAAAATAACTGGATTATGAAGAGAAAGATGGTTAATAAGTTATATAAGGAAAAGTGTCAGGGAAGATTCATGGCTCTCTGAATTGACAAGGCCTTTGTTTCGCAGGCAGAACGCGTATTTGGCTCAATGCCCACAATGAAGTGAATTGCTAAGTGGCCTCAGTATGCGCTAATGTTGCTACAAGTAAGTACTTCTGGGAATTAAATCTTTCAGTTGTTGGAAAATCCAGGCGGGTTTTTTTTTTTGACTTGTATCCAACTCTACTTTTACTCTGAGACCAAGAGAAGCTTGGTGTTTTCAGTTGAGTTTATTTTAAAAGGTAGAGTTTGTTCTTAACCATAACTCAAGGCAAAGGTTGCATTTTGTGAAGCTACACAGATCAAAACTGATTAAAGGTTCACACAAACTTTGCACAACTCCAGAAATGTTGGTGATTAACCCAATTCTTTATGGGCATCGCTTCACTGAATTCAATAGACCAATGCTGATTTACACCTAAGAGCTTGATCCTGCCAGTTGCTGAGAATGCTGGTCCTGATCGAGTGAAGCACATAAGCATGGGTTTTACTTTTAACACTTGAGTAGCTCCATTTACTTCAATAGGAGCTGAGGGACCTCAACTCATAGGATCAGTCTCTTCATAGTGTGTTGATTCCTTCCTCTCTCTTCCAGATGGATATTTTTTTAAAGGATGCAAAGGAACTCTGCTGCCACACCCCCCAAGAAAGATACCTTTCTCAGTGGAGATAACACTGTGGCTTGGGAAACAGGGATGCCCTCACTGTCACTGACCTGAAAGAGTCTGCTCTAAGGGAAGAAGCATTGTCTAGTGCTCAAAGCAGAGGCCAGGCAATCAGGAAACCTATGTTCTATTCCTGAGATTGCTGATGACTATGTGATCTCAGGCAAAGTTATTGTAGCTGTGTCAGTCCCAGGGTATTAGAAAGACAAGGAGGGTGAGGTAATATCATCTATTGGACCAACTTCTGTTGGTGAGAAAGACAAGCATTTGATCCGATGAAGAGCTCTTCTTCAGGTTGAAAGCTCGTCTCTTTCTCCCACAGAAGTTGGTCCAACAGGAGATATTACCTCCCCCACCTTGTCTTTCTGATCTTGGGCAAGTCATTTCACTGTTCTGTGCCTCAGCTTCCATTCTAAAAACTGGGGATAACAATATTTTCACACCTTTTTTGGCCTGAGTAAATAGCCCAAGCTGGGGCTCTGCAGCTTCATTCCACTAGAAGAAGAAATTGATGATGGAGTCAGGTCTTTCCTTTGATGCAATCTTGTTTATTTACACAGATTATACATTAAGTCCTGCTTCCCTGAACACAGTAGGAATCAGAGAGTCAGAGACAATTCCTTTGCTCACATACAGTTCCTAACCTGCCTTTCCAGCCAGAGCTTTGCCCCGCAAAGTGCTCTGTCTCTCTCTCTCGCTCTCTCAGAGCGTCCTCTCACATCACACTACCAGCTCTTATTTTACTGTCTGCTGGGCTTTCTAGCCACTTCTGTATCTTTCTGTCCCTTCTCTCTCTTATAATCTGTCAAAACAGTCCCACCAGTCAAAGACCTACCCCTTCTATTTGCTCTCGGTACCAGGAGGAACCCATTGGGACACATGGTTCAGCTTCTATCCCAGCTTTTCCATGTGTTTTTGAAGGCTGTTGCTATTGCTTCAGACACTGGGGTACAACTGACGTTTCTCCTGAATGAAAGAGGTGGTCATGCCTAAATCATAACAACAAGGTTTATTTTTTTGTCCATCACCTTTATGGAGCCTAAAATTGTGACCCTTAACCACCTATATGAGACGGAAAGGAAATAATTTAACAAACTTGCAAAATGATGCAAGCTTAACTATCTGCATATTTACATAGTGTCTTCCTGTCAGGATATTTTTACGTCACCATACCAAATAGATTTTACCTCCACCATAATCGCTCTAGAGCTTTTTGCTCTCTGCCTGATTTCCTTTCAGGCAAGTTGAAGTGGCTGTCTATAACGTGCTCCTGAAAATGCATAAGCAACGTCAGAGGATTTAAGTCTAACTTTTTTACTCACAAGGTCATAGCTCATGACCACCTCCAGAGGTCCAGGTTGACTAGCCATGGTATTGTTCATGTGATCCAGTAATTCAGGTATAGATGAGTAATAGTTTCATCATAGGGTGTAACACATTTCTTAGCTCCAAAAGTGATTGCGAAAGGGGTGTCTTCCCTGATACTGTTCCAGCTATGCAGGTATTGAATTTCCACTAACCCCACCTCCGATGTCCCCAGAAGAGCCAAGAGTTTAAAAAACTAGCTGTATTGTAAAGTTCAAACTGGTGTTTTGGGGACTAACCCTAGAGTTGGCATTGCTGGGTAAAGTGATGTAAAAGCTACTGTCATTCATTTTTTTCCTCTTGGCAGGAGTAATTGTTTTCTGTCATGTCTAAATGTCACAGAGTTGAGATGCTTCCACCCAGCTGTTAAACTTATCGGGCCATCCCAGGCATTCCAGCAACAGTTCTCCCCCCCCCCTTCCTTTCTCAGCTAGAACTTTTTCAGTTCTCTAAATACTGTCCTGTTTCAGGTTAACTTTTTATAATTCGTCAGAGTAAAAAGATCCAGTAACTGTCTTACTCCTGTAATCTTTTAATTGGTATACAAGTCTCTGTCCCTTGCTTAAGGCTTCATCCACTATGAATATCTCATTGATTGAAGTTTGTTCAGAACCTTTTGCAAAAGCTCCTTTGGTTTTTGGTCGTCTCACGTGGTCGCCTTTTCTAAAAGGGACAACAACTGGTTTTATTTCAGAACTGTCTCCAAATGCTATTTTCCATACCTCCAGAGAATTTGAGGGGTTAACATTAATGGGTCTGGTACATGTAGTTGTGTGAAAGCTCTGGTTGTGACTCTTTATAAACTCAGGTAACATGCCAATGTAGCAAAAGGTGTTGTGGCATGTAAAATATCTCCACATCTTAGATTTTAAAGCTCTATTAAACTGCTCCACAACCTCAGCGTTGACTTCATTATTAGTAACAAAATGGGGAACAGCATGTTATTTTAACAATTTGTTTAAAAATATTTTTCTCTGATCAGTTTGTAATTTTGAGGCATATGACCTTCACTGAAAATAGTTTTAAAGGCCTTCAATACTTCACCACCCAGCTTGTCTTTTCGGCCTAAGGCCTAGGCGTATTTAGATAGACATACTAGCACTGTTAAGATGTACTTAAAACCACCATTGTGTTTGGAGAACTGCTGCATATCCACCAAATCTGCCTGCCATTGTGCATCCACATCTGAAACGACAGTCTTGTTTCCTTTAAAACATATTTGAGCCAGTTTGCATAAAGTGTAAACATCCTGGTCTGAAAGCCAAGCTGTTACCTATCATCTTTCAAAGTTTTACTATGCTTTTTGGCAGCTTGAAAAAGAGGGGTCACCCCTCTGAAGCTTCCAGATTCCCCAGGGGTGTAATATATTTTCTTCAACAGAGACATCTGTGTAGACATGATCGTTAGTTGTAGCGTCTTTTTACTAACATGAGTAAGGAGAGGACATGTTCACAATGACAAATTTAAACAAGTTTTAATAATCACCTGGTTCAACACCCCACTTTACAGCTGTCTGTGGAAATCTGAAGCCCCTCATCTTTATAGGGCATCTGAGCTGGTTCATTCTTCTATTTTGTTCTCATCCAAGGTCTCCTTTTTGAGATCTGTATCTGAGGCATGAGCAAAAACAGCGGATGCATGATAGATTTAGCCCCACAGGGCTAACAATGTGTAGGCTCTCAAAGTTCTCCAGAAAAGTGTCAAGCTGTCAAGAGATTGTCAGAAAAAAACAGCTGTAAGTCCATTGTTTTTAGACGTATGCAGCCCCGGGTCAGTTCCTAGCCCATTATACACCATCCTGAACAGACATTTTTATAGTGTATTTACCTGACCAATGTCTTCTCCATTCAGCTTGTCCAACTCCAGCGAGCTGTGGTCACCTTCCTCCACAGGGGCAGAGGCCGGGTGGCCATCACATTTGTTAGTCTGCCTCACGAGCACTGGGATCTCAGGGACAGGTTCCATCAATGGCTGGGCCAAAGGACTCCCTTTGGTGGCTCTCACTTCCTCCTCCTCCTCAGAACTGTTCCTGATGTAACACTTTCTCTGTAGGTGACTGAGCTCCCTTGGAGCTAAAACGAATTCTGTAGCTCTCACAGAACTGATGATGGAAGCCATGTTTCCCCTCAGCATTTCCATGATACCTGAGAAACATGTTATTGAAATGAGATGGCCTCTTCCATGCAGGAATGGGGCTTTCAAGGGCAGTGCTGGTGACTGGCCAACCCTTGATCTCCAGAGATGGAGAGTTCTGACCTAGACCCTCTTCTATACCTTTTCTGAGTGCCACATGTTTCCCTTTTGTCTGGGCCTATAAAGGTAAAACCTGCCCCAGTTAGTAGAGGTGTCACACTACCCACTTCCAGACGGGTCACCTCACCCCCAGAACTTGACCTGATTGTTCAAAACTGTTCATGGGGAGTTTCTAAGGGTCTGAACCCCACTCCAATTGGTGGAGAGTGGTGGGAGGAGTTCTTAGAAGGGTCACATGCCACCCCTTGCTTCCAGTCATGTGTAAATCTTGACCCCAGAAGTAATATCCCAGGGTGAGGGGCTTATGGTGACAGGCAGGCAGGGCCTTAAGGGTAAAGGGGTGGGGTCAACATTTGATTGACAGTAGACCCATAAATTGATATATACTGAATTTAAGAAAGCTGTTTTACAAAGATTTCAAATTATTCCTGAACTGTATAGGTTAACATTTAGAAATCTCAGGAAAGGTGCTGGCATGAGTAATAATGAAGATGCCTATAAGATGTGTGACTTGATGAGAAAATGGGTAAAGGGGAAAGAATCTAAGGATTATGACTAATTGTTTAATCTCTTTGCTCAAGAACAATTATTAAGTATAAGCACTGAAGAGGTAAGAAATAGCCGGTGGGATAAGTCTTTTCAATCTGTATTAGCATTAGCCACTCTGGTTGATGCCCTTGTGCAAGCCCAGATGTCCAATAAGTGCAAGCCCAGAAGTAGGGACACAAACCCGCTGTAAAGGGGGGATCCTGTTTTACCCCCGGAAAGGAGGAGAGTGTCTGGGAGCCCAGGCACTCACTCTTTCAGAAATGTTCCCCTCATGGAATTCCTCATCACAAGCCTCCTGCGAAAGAGGAGGGTCCAAGAAACTGTTTCCAATATAACTCCACTGAGCACCCAAGAGATCAGTGCCCTGAGCTAAAAGAAACTTAGCCCCATCCAACCCATATTCATGCAGCTGTCCTTAACACAGAAGCCCCAGAGGAACCTACAGTTCACCTGGTGAGTTTTGTAAGGACTGACCCAGAGGGGTTGGATATGGAATTGATTAAGGTTGCCAGAGTAAATAATAAGGAGTCCATACAGTGGAGAGACACTGGAGCACAGATCTTTCTGGTCAAGGGAAGTATGGTCCAAGAAACTAGCATGTTACCTGACCAAAAAGTGGAGCTTCTGGCCGTGGAAGAATAGAAGATTCCTGTACCTTTAGCCAAAGTGAATGTGGAATGGGAAAGTTAAAAGGAATCTTGTCAGTAGGGGTGCTGTATAATAGCCCTGTTGAAATGCTTGTAGGGAATGATATTTTGCATATGGCTAAGGCTATTAATGTAGTAACCTGTAGCAAAAGGGTATATTGTGCTGGAATCCCAATGGGAATGGTAAAATCCCTGAAACAGCTGAATGAGGGCACGGGGAAGGTCTTTCTAACTCTCCTGCAGCAGAAGGTAACAGTGTGTACCCAGGTGTGGGAGGAGTTGGGGGCCGGAAATAACCCCTGTGATTGAATAAGCGGTTCCAGATATCAGCTGCCAGCATTTTGCAGTTGAACAAAGGATAGATGCCACTCTCTAGAGAATAAGAGTTGATACCAGACACCTCTGTGTTCTTGGGGAACCAGGGTGCAGTATCCAGCCTGACTCATGGAAGACACGCTCCCCTCCCCCGCCCCCAGCCTCTGCTTAAACCAAAACCCATCAGAGGAAGAAAACTTGCAGAGAGCAGTGAAGGGCGTTGGGAGACACACCTAGACCCCTCCTGACAAGGGTGACAAGATTAAGACATCTCCATTAGCATACATAATGGAGAGCAGAGACAACTCCCCTGGCCTTATCTGCATGAAAGATGGGACAGGAAGACATCTCAATTTACATAAAGAATGGAGAACAGAGAACCACACTGAATTCTGGGACCAGAAAAAGCAGGGAAGCACTGCATCATGGGAATCTCTGCTCCAGATGTTAATGAACTTATGTCTGCACACACCCAGCTCGGCAATTATCAGACCAATTCTAGTAATGAATCCTTAATTGATATCCAAATACTGAAGCAGCCTAGTTGCATTGTGAGCTCGCTGGAAGAAAACACCACCCATAGCCAAGAGTGATCAGCTCCTATTGTCTAGTCTAAAGAAAACCCTTGAGTAATCAGTTTACCTATAAACAAATCTAGTGTTCTCCCTTGAACCATTGTATTTTCTCTACAAAAATCCCTACTCAACCCCTAGTCAGGGTTCTGATGCTTAGATCCAAACTAGGCATCAGTTCCACTGGAACTCCATCATCTCCTCACTGATCGTGCGGGAGACTCTGCCTGCCTCTTGCCCTCAGGACCCTCAGCTACCACCATCATCTGGGAACCCCGACCAGTTCAAGCTTCAGGGAGCGGTGAGACCCCCTTCTTTCTCTCTCTCTCTCTGTTTTCCTGTCTACCTTAGGTATTAACCTTTAATCATGTATGTTATGTTGGCTTAGTCCTCCTTGTGTAGTTATCACTATTATTCAATAAATAACTTCTATGGTTAAGTTGGTTGTTTCTCTCTCTCTTGCTGAACTTTACTCGTTTGTGTTTTTAGCTTTCCCCATTCACTCTACAGCAACGCTTCTTTTACCTAAGCTAAAGATCCCTGCAGCGCCCAAAATATTGTGGGGTTTGCTCATCGAGTAGGTTACTGCCAGTGCAATTGTGTTGGGGGACTGGGGATAGGGACGTGCTGAATCTGGGACACATAAGGGTAACAGCTTGAAAGTGCTGCTTGACCCAGTCCATGGACCCCAGGGGCATATAAGGAGAGACAGCTTGAAAGTGCTGCTTCATCCAGCCCAGTGAGTCCAGAGACGTATAAGGGGTCAGCTTGACAGTGCTGATTGACCCGGTCCGCTCAGACTTACTCTGTTAATGTACGTGTGAGTGTGTGGGTGTTTATCTGGTTCTGGGATGGGAGTAACCCAGCCCTAGGGACCTTAGGTCCTGCAGGATAGCTCCATTGGGAGGGGACTTGCAGAAGGGAGAAGTAGAGCTCCATATGTAAACACAAGTGACACAAGCAGTACATTGACAGGATTACAGAACCCTCTTCCCCAGAGGAGTAACCCGAATAAATGAGCATACCCCAAAGTAATGGGCACATCTGGTAACAGAGTGTGTGTCCTAAAGGGGGAGCCCAAGAAAGAGACTGTATGGGAAAAAACCAAAAGCCCTGGGCAGCCCTATAAAAAGTTAGTTATGGCCACCCAGCACTGTAGGGAATTAATGTTGTTAGCACATGATTGTCCCTTTGCTGGTCACTTGAGGGCACAGAGAAGTATGCCAGATTAAAGAAAAATCTCTACTAGCCAGGAATACAGGAAGCTGTGGGGAACTATTGCTGAAGAGCTTCAGGACCCCAGAAAGTTCCCCAATGTCCGTAGCCTGTAATACAAAAGGCATTTCTGAGGGTGGCAAGGGACAGTGTGGGCCCTATGCCACGTTCTACTTGTAGGAGGAAGAAATATATCTTGGTGGTGATGGATTTTGTCATTAGATATCCTGAAGAAGTAGCTCTAACATTGAGGCAGAATCTGTAGCAAGTGCCCTTTTCACTATCTTTTAGCAGAGTGGGTTTCCCTAATGAGATTTTATCTGACCATGGGTCAAATTTCATGTCTCCACTAGTCAGTTTGCCATGGAAGTCATGTGGGGAGAAACAACTAAAAGCTGCCTCAGTTCATCCAAAAATAAATAGTTTGGTGGAAAGATTCAATAGGACCCTAAATCCATGCTGGGTATGTTGCAATTAAGAGGGTTCAAGATTGGGATGAATTATTACCGTATTTGCTGTTTGATTATAGGTAGGTACTGGAAGACTCAACTGGGTTTTCCCCATTTGATCTCCTATACGGAAAGAAAGTGAGACGTCCCCTAGATCTCATCAGAGACTTCTGTGAAGGGCACACTGAGACAAAGGAAGAGCCACTAACTGAACATGTACAAAGGTTTAGAAAGGAGTTAAAAGACATGGTGGGTATTTTTCAAACTAACCTCAAAGACAGTCAATCCAAACGATACGTGTGGCATGATAAAAAGATTCGTAAACACTCTTTTGAAATAGAAGACTTGGTGGTGGCATTACGACCTGTAAAAAAAAAAAAGAGTACAAAATTCGACATTGGTGAGGCCTCATCTGGAATACTGTGTCCAGTTTTGGGCTCCACATTTCAGGAAGGATGTGGACAAATTGGAGAGAGTCCAGCGGAGGGCAACAAAAATGATTAGGGGTCTGGAGCACATGACTTATGAGGAGAGGCTGAGGGAACTGGGATTGTTTAGTCTGCAGAAGAGAAGAATGAGGGGGGATTTGATAGCTGCTTTCAACTACCTGAAAGGGGGTTCCAAAGAGGGTGGATCTAGACTGTTCTCAGTGGTAGCAGATGACAGAACAAGGAGTAATGGTCTCAAGTTGCAGTGGGAGAGGTTTAGGTTGGATATTAGGAAAAACTTTTTCTCTAGGAGGGTGGTGAAGCACTGGAATGGGTTACCTAGGGAGATGGTGGAATCTCCTTCCTTAGAGGTTTTTAAGGCAAGGCTTGACAAAGCCCTGGCTGGGATGATTTAGTTGGGGATTGGTCCTGCTTTGAGCAGGGGGTTGGACTAGATGACCTCCTGATATCCCTTCCAACCCTGATATTCTATGATTCTATGAAAATGCGAAAGGACCTTTTGAGGTAACAGAAGTGGTAAATGAAGACAGGGCTTTGGAGCGGAGCCCGGAGCTGGAGCGCGGAGCAGCTTTGGAGCAGTAGAGCTGCAGGTTGTTGCCTGGAGCTAGAGCAGAGCCAGAGCACAGCTCCAAAGCCCTGAATGAAGATACATATCAAGGTAAAAAGCCTCATGGTAATGCTGTTCCACAACATGTAAACAGACAACGCCTATCACAGCAATGAAGCTGGTAAACATGATCTACTGTGTAGAAGGGGAACTGAGGCACACGACCTCATTGATTTAATGGCTGACTGCCAAACTGACTGAACTCTGGAAACCATTGATGTCTGCAGTGCATTAACACCAGTTGAAAGGGCAGAGATGTTGTCTGTGCTGAAAAAACACACAAAAAAGTGTTTTTTTAACAAACTAGGGAAGACACACTTGCTAACTCATAAAAGCATTACAGAAGGACCACAGCCACCTCTCAGCAGATCCTACAGGGCCACTGGCAAGGTGCAGGAACAAATTCATACAGAAATACAAGCATGTTAGATCTGGGAGTAATTAAATAGTCTGTCAGCTCTTGGGAATCACCTGTGATCTTGGTCCCTAAGAAAGACAACGCTGTAAAGGTTTTGTCTTGATAATGGAAAACTTAATTCTGTCATGGTACCAGATGTGTATTCCGTGCCTAGAATTGAGGATATAGAATCATTGAAGGGACCTCAAGAGGTTATCTAGTCTATATCCTGCACTCATGGCAGGACTAAATATTATCTAGACCGTCCCTGACAGGTGTTTGTCTAACATGCTCTTATACATCTCCAATAATGGAGAATCCACAAACTCCCTAAGCAATTTATTCCAGTGCTTAACCACCCTGATGGGAAGTTTTTCCTTATGTCTAACGTAAACCTCCCTTGCTGCCCATTGCTTCTTGGCCTATCCTCAGAGGTTAAGGAGAACAATTTTTCTCCCTTCTTCTTGTAACAATCTTTTATGTACTTGAAAACTTTTATCATGTCCCCTCTCAGTCTTCTCTTCTCCAGACTAAACCAACTCATTTTTTTCAATCTTCCCTCAAAGGTCATGTTTTCTAGACCTTTCATCATTTTTGTTGCTCTTCTCTGGACTTTCTCCAATTTGTCCACATCCTTCCTGAAATGTGGTGCCTAGAACTGGACATGATACTCCAATTGAGGCCTAATCAGCATGGAGTAGAGCGGAAGAATTACTTCTTACAACACGCCTGCTAATACATTCCAGAATGATGTTTGCTTTTTTTGAAATAGTGTTACACTGTTCACTGTTCTCTCATATTTAGCTTTTAATACACTATGACCCCCCAGATCCCTTTCCAAAGTACTCCATCCCAGGCAGTCATTTCCCATTTTGTATGTGTGCAGCTCATTGTCCCTTTCTAAGTGGAGTAATTTGCATTTGTCCTTATTGAATTTCATCCTATTTACTTCAGACCATTTCTCCAGTTTGTCCGGATCATTTTGAATTATAATCCTATCCTTCAAAGCACTTGCAAGCCCTTCCAGCTTGATATTGTCCACAAATTTTTATAAGTGTACTCTTTATGCCATCATCTAAATAATTGATAAAGATATTGATCAGAACCCAGAACTGATCCCTGCAGGACCCCACTCATTATGCCCTTCCAACTTGCCTGTGAACCACTGATAATTACTCTCTGGGAACAGTTTTCCAACCAGTTATGCACCCACCTTATAGTAGCTCCATCTAGGTTGGATTTCCTTAGTTTGTTTATGAGAAGGTCATGGGAGACAGTATCAAAAGCCTTACTAAAGTCAAGATATACCATATGTACTGCTTCCCCCCCATCCACAAGGCTTGTTACCCTGTCAAAGAAAACTGTTAGGTTGGTTTGACACAAATTGTTCTTGACAAATCCATGCGGTTACTTATCACCTTATTATCTTCTAGATGTTTTCAAATTGATTGCTTAATTATTTGCTCCATAATCTTTTCTAGGTACTGAAGTTAAACTGACTGGTCTGTAATTTCCCTGTTGTCTTTATTTCCCTTTTTATAGATGGGCACTATATTTGTCCTTTTCCAGTCCTCTGGAATCTCTTCCGTCTTCTGTGACTTGTTGAAAATAATCGCTAATGGTTCAGCTATCTCCTCAGTCAGCTCCTTGTGTGTTCTAGGATGCATTTCATCAGGACCTGGTGACTTGAAGACACCAAACTTGTTTAAGTAATTTTAATTTATTTTTTCTGTATTTTAGCCTCTGATCCTACTTCATTATCACTGGCATTCACTATGTTAGATGTCCAAACGCCACTAACCTTTTTGGTGTAAACTGAAATAAAAAAAGTCATTAAGCACGTCTGCCATTTCCACATTTTCTGTTATTGTTCCCCCCACCCCTGACCTCATTGATTAACTGGCCTACCCTGTCCTTGGTCTTCCTCTTGCATCTAATGTATTTGTAGGCTGTTTTCTTGTTACCCTTTGTCTCTAGCTAGTTTAATTTTGTTTTGTGCCTTCACATTTCTAATTTTATTTTGACATACTTGTGTTATTTGTTCATATTCATCCTTTGTAATTTGATTTAGTTTCCACTTTTTGTAGGACTCTTTTTTGATTTTTAGATCACTTGAAGATCTCCTGGTTAAGCCAGGGTGGGCTCTTGTCATACTTTCTATCTTTCCTACGCAGTGGGATAATTTGTTCTTGTGCCCTTAATAATGTCTCTTTGAAAAACTGCCAATTGTTTTTCCCCTTAGACTTGCTTCCCATGGAATCTTACCTACCAACTCCCTGAGATTGCTAAAGTTTTCCTGATTGAAATCCATTATCTTTGTGACAGTCGGCAGTGACCCCCCTTAACAGCTAGCAGCCTTTATGGCAGCCAGCAGCCATTAGGGGGAAACAGACACCTCATGTACACAGTAGCCTGAACTTTTGAACTGTCTTCCCTTCTCTGCCTTGAGGTAGTTGGAGCTGGTCCCAAACCGGTTTTCACTGACCAGATAGTAGAAGTGCAGGGTTTGGCAACCACCAATCAAATGTTTACACGATCGGAGCCTGTGTTTGAGTGTGTATAAAAGATTTTTGGTTTTTGTATGAGTTAGAGTTTTTGTACTAAGGTGCAAAGCTCTCCTTTCTTCTGCAGAATAAAGCAACCTCTTCCTTATCCCTGTCTGGCTGTTATTGGCTCTCAGCTAGGCGGACCCAATATTTCGGTAACAGTTTCTGGCGACCCAGATGGGACCCTCTTAGCTCAGACATTGAACTCCAGACGGCTGCGGCGAACTAGGAACGGCGCCAACGGGGTGCTTAGCCCCTCTTCCACACTTCACCGCATCCCCTGGGGTTCGTGCTCCAATAAGGTGAGTCCTAATAGGATAAGGAAACACTACCTGGCTCTGGTTCTGCTCTGGTTAACTGGTTAATATATTTCTGTCTCATACACTTGGGTGTTAGGTGTGTGGGCGGAACTGAGCTTCTCGTTCTTAATTCCTCAGGGTGGAAGCCATAGTGTGCGAGGAATCCCTAAGGTCGAATTGAGATCCTTCTGTCCCGTCCCCTGTAGCAGTCAGTGTGAGTAGAAATCCCTGACTTGGAATTTCTGGATTAGACCATTATTCCCTCCGTCTTTCTGTTTAATTCTCTGTTTGAGTGTGAGAAGGAGGATGGGTGGGTCTCAGGGGAAACCCTCTAAGGATAGCCCTTTGGATTATATGTTAAGGAAATGGCCTTTACCCGGTGTTCAAAAAGGGAAGCCTCACTGATAAAAGTATTCCGGTAATGGGTATAGGCGGAAAGTCGTTTGACTGTTCTGTGTTGCAGGAGGCTACTGTAGAGATCTCTGGTGTCTCCACCTCCCATGCCTTTTTGTTAGCTCCTGACTCCCCAGTTAATCTCTTGGGCAGAGACCTGTTGTGTAAATTGCGTGCTCAGATTTTCTTTTCAGATGACGGGATCGTCCTCCGGTTACCTCAAAACCAACTTCCCCAGCTGTGTGCTGCATTAACCCAGGCTTCAGAGAACCCGATCCTGCCTGCAGGCCTGATCCTACCTGAGCGACTCAGACAGGAGGTACAAGCCTCCCTATGGGGCACTTCAAAAGCAGACTTGGGCACGGATGAACAGGGATGCATTTCTCATTCAGATCTACAACCCTATGAGCATCGTCAAGGCTGCAGGGAAATTCTTCACACCTCAAGACTGCATCAGAGGGCTGAGGAATCCATGCAAGGGGCCAAACTATACAGTTTGGAAAACCTTGCCTCCCCTGACTGCCCGATACATCTGAGACACCTCAAGCTTAGGCTCACGGCATTTCCCTTGTGCATCGGGCTCTCCTACTGTTTTTTCTCCAACCAGATCAACACGTCCCACCTTTTCATTCTTTGAACTAACCAGCTACAAAATGTTTTGGGCCTCAGTTCAGCCAGGCAATTAATCACATGCCTAACTTTAAGTACGTGAGCAGACACTCTGAAGTCAATGGGACAACTCAGATGCTTTAAGTTAGTATATCCTGATGAATCAGTGTGTTTGTGGAGTTAATAGGAATTATTTGCTTTCAATGAAATCTCTGTCTGTTTTTTCTCTGGGTCATTTGCTTTTGTCAACAATAGGATTTTACATGTGAAAATGTAACAAAGTGCTTTGTGAGCTTGCTATGTATCCAGGTATTTGTAACTGTTTGCTTTGCCAGGTAGAGCGGAAAGTAGGGATTATGCTCCAATGAAGATAATCAAACAGATAATTAAGGTGTTTATTTTGCAGGAATATGACAAAGAGAAAGGTCACAAAACCAAAATCAAGTTATTAAGTAAGTGAAATTAATATACTTAAGTGTCCGTTTCTTTCTTCTATGGGCTTCAAGCCATGTTTGTTTTTCTTGCATACAACTAAAAAGTACATTTTCAAATAAACTTTGCCCATTTTAAAAGAAAGTTCCTTCAATCAGCTCCTTCAGTAATTAAAATGGGATTTTGTGTAAAACCAAGTTGACAATGAAGTGGGATCTTTCTGGGCAAGGTTCTGATCTCATTTATACTGGAATAAATCTGGAACAACTCTACTGAATCCAATAGAGTTATTCTGGATTTTACTCCAGTTTAAATGAGATTAGAACCTACTGCCCTGAATGCTATGCAGAACTCAGCATGTGCAGAATTTAAAACAAAAATAAAAATCATCACTGTTTTAATGAGTATTAAATGAAAAGATGTGGGCTAATTTTGTCACAGGTTTTAAAATTTTCCAAATATAACAATTGTCTCACGGCAAAGAACAACATGGTTAAGGGGGTTTTATTTCATTGACGTCAAAGGAGTTCTACAGGCAGATTGAGAAGACCAGATGCCCCTAGTTAATAACTAAGTGAGACTTAATACAACATGAAACTTACACAGGAGGAGGATCACAGCATACAATGCAGAATGCATCGTTAGAATCTTTATCTAGAATTATATCTAGTTTGGAAATATGTGATTTTATTTATTTTCATTTTACTGCAGAGGCTAACTTTACGTTATTACTGTATTTCAGTGGTACACTGACAGGAACCAGTACAATATTTTAGGACAAACGGGTGTTTACAGGTATATTGCTTTTTTAATTGACCACAGTTGGCATATGTATCTTCATACTTGCAAGGATTGGCTGAAAGAAATGGGAGCACATGGTTAAAGCGGTTTATTTTGCTATATGACTGTTACCCATTCGTTTTGTTTAAGTGTCTAAGAACTGCCAAGATAAACAGCGATTCTGAGAGGCAGAGCGGCTGCATTGTGTTTTATAGGAGACACCCCAGAGCCAGCGCTAGGCAGAAGCAGACTAAGCAATTGCTTAGGGCCCCAAGCAGTTCAAGGGCCCCTCCTACTAGCTTTTTATTCTAAGAACTTGCCTGTTTTAGTATTGGGGTGGGAGGAAATATTCCTGCTTAGGGCCCCCGATGGCTAGCACTGGCTCTGGGGGAGACACTGAGCCAAATTCTGAGCCCCTTACTCAGTTTATACTCCTGCCTTAGTTCAGCAAAACCAGCATAAACCAAGGGAGTGAAAGCTGTGGACCAAATTATACCCTTGAGACAGGCATGGTATGTACTCCCCATAGGCAGGGCCGGCTCCAGGCACCAGCCCAGCAAGCAGGTGCTTGGGGCGGCCAAGGGGAAGGGGCGGCACGTCGGGGTGTTCGGTGGCAATTCGGCGGCGGGTCCCTCTCGAAGGGAAGCACCTGCTGCCGAATTCCCGCCGAAGAAAAAAGCGGCGCGGTGGAGCTGTCACCGGAGTGCCGCCGATCGCAATTGCGATCGCAGTTTTATTATTTTTTTTCTGCTGCTTGGGGCAGCAAAAACCCTGGAGCCGGTCCTGCCCATAGGCATGACTCTCCTCCTCAGTGCAGATGGGAGATTCAGCTGACTTTGCAGCACCCCCTTTCTGAACACTGTGGAGTCCTGTTCACAGACCCAGGGGTCCATGCCAAGGGAGTGCAGGGCTAACAAGTGTCATGCACTGGAAACGACACTCATGCATGCGGTGGTCCTCTCAGGCATTTCCACATCCCTGAAGAAAACTCATGCATCCCGCAGGGCTACGAAGAGAATGGAGTTGTTCTTATATTGCTCCTTCTCCCCATCAGCAACTGCAATGGGACCAGGAGCCAGAAGGGAGGGTCTCAATACTCCCTCCCCCTGCTGGTGCATTGGCTGTGTGAGGGGATTGTGGGCGGAAGCAGCTGCCTACAGAAATGATTGACTGCCTGGCATGAGGGTGAGAGGAGGAAGGGAGATGGCTGCAGGGCAGGTGCGGGGCAGGTAGGGGGAGACAGGAATTGAAAGGAGCAGGCTGGATAGAGGGATGTGGGCAGAATGGTGGTAATGGGAAACGGGCAGAAAGAGTTTTGACCAACAACCCTCTCCCCACCAGGGCCCTGACTTTTCTTCCTTTCCTTTTCCCCCAAACTACCTTAGACTCTTACAAGTGCTGATGATTCTGTGTGGCTAAGGGATCGTTGCTAACCATGAACCTGCTCCTCTCCCACTGAAATCAGCGTAGGTTTTGCCATTAATTTGAATAAGAGGATGTCAGGCCACAGGATGTTTTTGGTTTAGCTCTGTGGCAACCCTTTACATTCCCCCAGGCATAATTTATTACTAAATGTAACATTAGAAACACCAACTGCATAGAAGGAATCTACGCTACAGTTATTGCAATACCATTGCTTAGGTGCACTGCCTACTAATGACATGAACTATGGGTCTGTGACACGGAGGGACTAGATGGGAGGGAGAATAACTTCATTCATATTACATAGCAGCTGCTTTAGAGTGACAGCGACACTACAGAAAAAGTAAGAATCCTGTAGATAAAAGAGGAATAGCTGTCTGCCAGAACTGGAACACCTGCTGTAATGCCCTGAACCAGAGAATGTGGTGTCTATATATATCATTGCTCATTACAAACAGAGGTGTCAAACCCCCATGCTCTACTTGGACTGGATTAGGGAATTCAGCACGCCATGAGACACACCAAAAATATGTAGGTGGTACAATAATATATTAACTTACTGCACAGTACATTGTCACAAGCATCAGGACAGTCGCCGCATGGGTCTCCTTTTTTGTAAGGTGTCGTAGTTGATCCTACTACATTTCCCCTAAAATTTTAAAATGACATAAAATGTCTGACAAACCTCATTTTTCATTCATACTTCAAAGTTCAATCCAGAATACATACAAAAGAGGATGGTTCTGCAGCCATTAGTCAAGTTAGGTGAGTACAATTGTGCATGTACATTTGCATCACCTGCCTGATGCATGCAAATCAGTTATATGTATGTGGGCATAACTAGTTAGTGTTTTGTATGAGCATACTGCATTGGCATGTACAAATGTATTCCTGCAATTGCAAGCATCTAACTTAAAATCTGGGCTGTAGCGTTTTGACCAGAGCTGGTCAAATTTTCTGACAGTAGTTTTCTGTTGGAAAATGCTGTTTCACTGACATTTAAACATTGTGGAAACGGAAACATATCAAGTTTAACAAAATTTTCAATGGAAAATCATTGAACTGAATCATTTCAATAAGGTAAAAGATTTCATTTTGACTTTATCATTTCAAATAATATAATAAATATAATATAATGTACACCTCTACCCCAATATAACGCTGTCCTCGGGAGCCAAAAAATGTTACCGGGTTATAGGTGAAACCGTGTTATATCGAACTTGCTTTGATCTGCCGGAGTGCGCAGCCCCGCTCCCCCCCGCCCCGACCCCCGGAGCACTGCTTTATCACATTATATCTGAATTAGTGTTATATCGGGTCACTCTATATCGGGGTAGAGGTGTATTCCATGAATGTCACTGTGTGTCATTCTGAAACCTAACTGTCTGTTGAGTCAGTGTGAAGTGATGGAAACAGCTAGAAGCATGATTAAGGGCTCATTTGTTCACAGTATCACCAGGTTGAGAGATCACTGTCTATTGCAGTCCAATTTTTAAGTTCTCAGTAATTTTGAGTTTACAAATTACACCCATGAGGTGTATAGCTACAATAAGGCATGTATCTATGCCATGCCCAGAGTCCTAGACCATTGTGATATCAGAGGCAACTCAACCAATCACCAGTCTTTACTCCACAGAGAATTTGCATGATTATATGAGGAAAACTCCACAGATGGTGGATTATTTGGCCCAGCTGTCACACCCATGTGCTCAGCTGACACCCACACAAATCAACACAAATCTTCCAGCACAACCCACCTTCTCACACAAATCAACACAACCACCCACACAAGTACACAACCAGTAGACACAATAATCCTGAACGCAGATAGCCCCTCACTGCAGCACACACCACTCACTCGCCACCCACACAAATCCCCAAAACATCACAATCACAACACAATCCACACACAAATCAACACATCCGCTTACACAACACTAACAGCACACACAATAATCCCACATAACACCTTGAAGTTTAGAATGTCGGTGGAGTCAGTGTGCAGTGATGGAAATATCACCAGTAGTTCAATCATCACTGGGATTCACAGTCTGTTACCATCCACTTTTTAAATTCTCCACAATTTTCGGCTTTTTACATACATGACTTTCCAAATTAGAGCTGTGTGCCAGCACAGGCTTTCAGCTGCTAATGTTATATAATATATGTAAAAAATGGGAAGGATGAATTTAAACATTTCAACCTTAGGAACATGAAATCTTTGGGAATATTTTGTTCCACATTAAAATCTGAGATTTTGACTGTTTGTCCTAATTCAGGCTAAAATTCAAAATCTCTGAATTTTCCACACAACAGAAATTCTCTTTTTTGGACAGCTCCAGTTCTGACATCTTCACTGGGTACATTTTATCCCAAAGTCAGTTCCTTATGAATTATTATGACGTGTGCAACAACTACTTTACAGACATAAAATGAGACACATATATCCCCCCAAAGAATTTGCAATTGCAACCTTTGTGTTGGATTCAGTTGCAGGATGAGGGCCTTACCTGAGAACACAGACAGGGGACGAGCAGGGAGGATATAAAATAGAGTAGAAACAAAGTGAATAAAGACAGGTTTCAGAGTAGCAGCCGTGTTAGTCTGTATCCGCAAAAAGAACAGGAGTACTTTTGGCACCTTAGAGACTAACACATTTATTAGAGCATAAGCTTTGTGCTCCCCTGATTTACATCAGTTGAGAATCTGCCACTCGATGTCCCTGTTTTGTCAATATACTATAATCGTGATGCAGTGAGGGCTTCTAAAAGTAAGTATGTTTGACTAGTGTGTCGGTGATTTCCCTAGAAAGAGGGTCATTAATGCAAACAGAAGCATATTTCAGATTAGTTTTATTCAGTATTTAAAGAAGTTGTGTTCTCTGCTGTTTAGACTGGGGGCTATGCATCCGAAGAAGTGGGCTGTAGTCCACGAAAGCTTATGCTCTAATAAATTTGTTAGTCTCTAAGGGCTTGTCTATACTTACCGCGCTGGTTCGGCGGCAGGCAATCGAACTTCTGGGTTCGATTTATCGCGTCTTGTCTGGACGCGATAAATCGAATTCAG